TACTAACATGCTTTACTAAAAACCGTATATGACGTTTATGTAAATATACTATGTGCATACTATGCACATAAACCCAACATACTAAATAAAAATGAAGAAAATTATGTAGCTAAATATAGAAAATAACCATAAATAAAGCCTAAATATTAAAAGGGTGCAATAATGTGTCACTAGCCTGGCCCTTGCCTTCCTMYGCAGCTCCGCTCAGTTCTAGTTTCCCTTCTCTGCTCCATCTGGGACTTCTCCCATTGACAAGGATTTCACTGGCAGATTTTTTGCCGGGCCAATCAGAGAACAGAACGTTAATTTTCTGCGCAGTGTCTGCTTTTAGTTTATTTTACCAGGGCCAATCAAAGAACAGAAGGTGGAGTTTTGAATGTCGTTGTTCTGTGCAGTGTCTGCTAGTTATTTTAGCATACGGCAGTGGAGGAAGTGAATGAAGCCAGTCTGTGTTGATAAGGCTTCCAAATTAAAATAAATTTGTCTGACAAAGCAGCAGCTCTCATTTACAGTCGTTTCGTTCGGCTCGGTACTTCTCTCCTCTCAGTAGGGTTGTTTACAGCACACATGATGTCCGGTTAGCTTCTTAGCTTAGCCTCCTTCACACTGACAACACACAAATGCTTCAGCAGAGGCCACGCCTCCTGCAAGAAATGATTCTCTATGCATCAAGTCCAGACCCTCGTACGAAGCAAAGTGAAGGACAGGGTCTGGTTTAAACCAGGCTAATGTGTCACCAAATGTGAAGTAAAAACTGTCACTAACACATTGTCAAATGTTAAAGCTTGTATTTAAGTACAATATATTTCAGAATGGAACACATTATTCACTGTGTTTGAGCGCTGCTTTCGTTGTGTCATCATCCTGCGACGAAAGCAACCACTAACGTTGCTAAGGCCGCTAACGTTGCTAACGTTGCTAACGTCACTAATGCCACTGGCTGTGTCCAAAACGGCAGGACGGGTCCTCCGAAGGTCGAATTTGTCGGCCGCATACGTCACAGCGCCGCGACGAAGGACGTCCAAAACGGAAGACTCCTCCGATGCGTCCGACAAATACGTCCTTCTTTTTCCCCGAATCGAAGGACAGGTCTGATGGATCCTTCCCGGCCCAGCATATCCCATAATGCATTGCGGCCTGACCGGAGATTTTTTTAAGCTAGTAATGGCGGACGAAGCGAGAGAAAAGAATACGTTTTAAATAAAAAATATGGTGATTTAAAAATTTTAAAAAATAAGCGTTTGTAATTCTAATACTTTTATCATTTGTATGGACATGTTTTTAAATATTATTTTTTCGTCATAAAAAACGCGAAATAAACATGAACCTACAGCAGGTCAATTAGTTCTTCAAATGATACCTTTAAGTTAATTTCATAGTTTTGTGATATTAATAACGCTAATGTGTTGATATTTTTCTAGTTTTGATTTAAGTTTGCTTGTTTAGTGTCGTCAAAGTTGCTAGGTGACATGACGTACGCCGGGGTAAGGAGGGGAGGCTAGACCGTCCAAATCCACAGCCTCTTTTTTTCCGGTCTTCCCGGTCTACCAAGGACCCGGCCCTCCGAGACCGGGGAGTCTGGGTCCTCCGGAGGACCCGTCCTGTCGTTTTGGACACAGCCACTGACAATAGTCCTTACCGTTAGCTCATTCGCGCATGCGCCAATATAAATACTTCTGGAATGGCTTTGTTTTTTAGCATCTAGCATTTAGCTAGACTGCTTGATGGCGGAATGGATTAGTTTTCTTTTCTATCTTATATCACCTGCAATGTTTCCTAGAAAAGGGAATGTTTGCAACAGATGTGGWCTTTTAGTCCAGAATATAAAAACTAAACAAAGAAAAACCCTTAATATCTCCACAAATCTTTGTTAGCATAAATACATTAATCTTATCGAACAGTCCAATCAATAATTTTCTGCTGAATTATAATTTTTTCAAAGTATTACAGCTATTACTCAATAAGGGAAAATAGGTCAAGTAATATTTTAATTAGTATAAATACGTACGCTTCGTAAATCTATATTTTATTAATAGAATGTATAAATGTTATATTAAAGCCATTTACAGGATATAATTAAGCACACCTTTATGAGGATAAAATTAATATTTCCAGTACTTTTTTCTAATAAATCAAGCCAATTTTTTTGTGAGGTTAAAGTATTTCTTTTAGTACATGCACCAATGAGCTGAAGGGATTGTCTGAGCTGCACTTCAAATTGCCAGGCCACAGGTATTATCCATATTGTTTTCAATGAACATTTTGAATTTAAAATTTTAAATGCCGTCTTCAGCAACATTAGCAGCGTTAGAGTTTGCTTTTGTCTCAGGATGATGATGTCATAAGAAGAATACGAATGTTATAAACTTTATTCTTTTTTTTTTTTCATTTTATAAAACAATTCTATGCGCAATAAAAAAATGTAAATACAAATGAAATGAAATGAAAGGTGGCTGGGAGAAGAAAAATACCTATTGCCAAGCAACAACAGGAAATGTTGCGCTCCATTTTGAAATTCCTAATTGTAAGCTTTCTCATTTAGCTGCACCATTTAAGATTTAACCTTTCCATTTAGATTTACACATTTAGATTTAGGATTTACACGTTTAGACACATTCAAAAAAATTTTGTAAAACGTAGCAAAATGAACAAAGTGAGCTAAATAAAATGTTAGTGGAATTGAGCTAAATAATAAAAATGTATTAGTGACATTTCTTAATGTTTATTTTATACTTGGCGACCCATACAATTACACTGTAAATAAACTTTACATTGCACTTCATATTTTGCATAGGTAGTTTTTATGTTTAGAAATAATTATCACTTTCAAAATGGGAATTATGAAATAAAATTGTCATAAAATTGTTATGACCCAATAAGTGCAGTGAACAAATTGTACCTACAAAAATAAAATAAAATTAAATAAATAAATAAAATAACATAAAAAAGATGCAATAAAAAGTCTGTACTGTATCCAGTGTTGTATAAAGTACCACAAAGTGATACTTGAATAAAACTACAAGTATCTTGCCAAAAAATTACTTTGGTAAAAGTTAAAGTCTCCTTTAGGAATATTACTTGAGTAAAAGTCTTAAAGTATCTGATACTTTTTGTACTTAAGTATTAAAATTAAAAG